AAACTGGAGATTCTTTTTTGAAAGAGCGAGAGTGAAAGGGTTGAAGGGTCTCGATTAGAATAAGTGTTTTATATACCGCACTGAAGCTCGTCTTCTGCCCTGGGGCAGTCGTCGAATCCGTCGCAAACGGAGCTCTTCGGTATGCAAGAGCCGTCGGTGCACGTGAAGTCCATAGAAGGGCACGGGGCCAAATCTACAGCGGCACCGGCAAAACAGACACACAGGCTGGTTTTTTCAGAACCAAAACCAGTCGCCTCGAGCGCACCTCGAGGCGGCCAATTATATCTATTCAGATATGTATGTACAAGCCATCGGGTCCACCGGATGGACACATTTAAAGCGGGACAATAGTACTCGGACCCGATGATACACTGAAAGCACTTGTTATGATGAATGGTATTTATACATTTTCGTCTGCCCGACTGCGATACCGAATTCCCATTGTTCTTTTCCTATTGTCAGCTCATATCTTTTCGCGCTGCGAAATGCTTTTAAGTTTTTAAGTCAGCAGTTATTAAAATTAGTATGCTTCCTGGAATAATTTATAAGCTCGTTCAGCTGATGATACAAAAATTATTTGTCTTAGGAATTTGATACAGGATTTTGTGTCAGATCGATGGGGTTCGCAGTTGGACAGCACGCGACTCCTCGCGGGGGGTTCCTTTGTACAAGGGAGAACTTTTTAAGCTAGACATTTAAAGCGATCTGAACGAAGCCCCTCGAAGGCGGTTATTCGTTGTTACTATGTACAGTGTGTGTGTGTGTATGTGTATGTAATGAACGTACAACTCGTGTCTGTGAAATCTGAATCCGAGACGATGTTGTCTCGTGTAATCTCTCGGCTTTGCCACTGAGCTTCCAGACAACCAAATCATACAGTCGTAAAACGGCCGATGGCTTCCTTGTTAATTCAAGATCCATCGGTCTGATTTTATTCCAAACGTAAGATAAATATCCACTCGAGAATGACTGACGAGGTCAATCGATTCGATTTGTGAATATTTTTTTTAATTAAGACCGTAGAGGAAGCCATGGCACGATTGGGCGTCGAGTCAATTTATCCCTAAGGCTTTTGTACAGCACGAATGGACGTCACAAAGTTCTAACACATAAACATTGTCTCTTGTCACGGTTCTAAGCCACCTCTTTGTACAGCGAACCTTTCACTGAACAGTTTTTGAAGATCCCACGAAGAATAGTTTAGAGAAAGAGGAGGACACCCACGGAGGACTCTCTACCTTTGGGTCCACAATCGGCCTCGTCCGATCCGTCTTCGCAGTCAGTCGAATTGTCGCACAACAGGGCCGAATCGATGCAGATCCCGTCGCAAGCGAACTGTCTCTCGCCGCATCCGTTTCTCTTAGTTTCGCTCCCGTTCTCGAGGCTCACGTCGTAGTAAACGTCACCGTAATCGCACTGGCTCTCGTCGCTGCCGTCCTCGCAGTCGTCGACGTCGTCGCAGACTCTGTCTTCAGATATGCAAGTCCCGTTGTCGCATAAAAATTCATACTGGTCGCATATGAACATCTCGAAATCGGGTGTCCATTCCCTGGTCGCATTGACCAGCCCTTCGACAGGACATTCGGCCTCGTCGCTGATGTCTTCGCAGTCTGCCGCACCGTTGCAAACGTCGTCCTTCGAGATGCAGGTCCCGTTGTCACAGAAAAATTGATCCTCGTTGCACCTGAACGCATCTTCAGGTTTCGTGGTATTCGATTCTTCGGTGATTATTCTCTGGGTCGTAGAAGTCTGGTCACTAGCATCCACGTCTACGGTGGTGCTTTTTTCTCTGTTCCTGAACTGTTTAAAGAGCCACCGCCAGTCGGTCGTGCTGGTCTCTACGTACGTCTCAGTAGTCGAGGAGCTCTCAGTCTCGTTTAAACTCGTGTTCTTCTCTTCTATTGTCTCTTCCCTGGACTGGAACTCCTTGAGGTTGCTCGTACTGGAAGAAGCAGTCGTCGCCTCGAACAAAATCCCATCAGTATAATTGTTCCAAGCGGTCGTCTCAAACGATACAGTCGAGTGTTTGTTCACCCTATCTTTACGTTTCTTCCCTTTCCCTTTATTCTTATTTCTTCTGTCCTTTCTGTCCTTCTTGCTGATCTTATTTTTTTTCGTAACAGGCTTCGTGATCAGTTCTACCAAATTCGTTGACTCGGTCGTTTTAGTAACAGTTCCTCCTGGCATAATTTTTAATACGGTTTCCGACGACTCTATGACGTTCGGGAAATCTGAGAATCTGGTCGTTTCTTCGATGCTAATTAACCCCGAATCAATTCCCTCGTCGCTTTTATTCAAAACCGTATTGTTATTTGCACCGCGGGAAGTGTTTTTTATATCTTCAGGTGGGAATTCGCGTGGTTCGAAATTGGAGATGAACTCGTCCGAAGAGCCTGCGAGGTCTGGCGTAGAATCAGTACAATTCTCGTCGTCCGATTTGAAATTTGTGGTATTTAATTCAGGAATGATTCTCGTCTGATTCGTGTTCAACGTTTTCTCAATGACAGTCCTCATCTTTTTCTCCTTCTCGTAAGCTCGTCGCCAAAATTCAGCGCATTTTGAGTTGCAGTTGTCTAACTTCTGTTTCAGTAGTTCGTCAGTAGGAATCAAGGAGGTAGAATTGTTATTAGTGATTCGGTCTTTGCTCAACAGATCGATGTCCACATTTACATTATTCGACTCGAACAATCCTGTTTCTATTTTTGAAGACACGTTTTGATCTGGATAATCGTATTCAGAAGTTGTAGAACTTGTCATTTTCTTTTTTAAGTATTTCTCATAATATTTCGTCCAGTTGCTCTTCTTCGCTTTGTGCTTGCCTCTCGTAGGACTCTTCTCAGAGACTACTTTCTGCAGACTACTTGACGGACCGATAGTTTCTACAGTCGATACAGAGAAATTTTCTACATTTGACAAGACGTCGTCTACGAGAGTTGTTCTTGGAGTATCGTTGATCTCTTCTTCTTTAGAAATTTCGACCGTATCTTCATTAAACGAACCGGGCTTCGTGGTTTCTTCTCCGGATACCGAATTCTCTGTAGGAGAGTTTATTTTTTCTAAATCAGGAGTCCAAGTTCTTGAAAACAGAATCCCTTCCTGTGATTCAATGCTTGCTGTCGTGCTGCTAACATCAGCTTTTGTAGTAGCTTCATTGGTTCTTGAAAACAAAATCCCTTCGTGTGATTTTATGCTTGTCGTCGTGCTGCTGATATCAGCTTCTGTAGTAGATGGACTGGATTTTGAAAACAAAATTCCTTCTGCTTCTGACGTACTCATAGACGAAGTGGTCTGTTCAGTTCCCTCTTTAACCGAAGCAGTTTCAGTAGAGAACATATCATTTTTAATTGGCTCTGTGGTGGAACTGAATGCTTCGATCTCCTCAGAATTTCGTCTGATCAGTAAGGCAGGCTTTGGATCGATAATAATAATAGATTCATTTACTACTGGTGTACTTGTAAAAATATCTTTAGTGAAGAGAATCCCATTTTTAATTGACTCCGTACTGGAATTCAATGCCAATGCTTGTACCTCCTTGGAATCTCTTGAATTAAACTGTGTGACACGAGCCCTGGTCTTGCCCTTTCTTCTCTTCTTATTTAACTTCTTCCTTTTCTTCGTCGTGTCTTCATCATTTAATACTGTAGTCGTTGACTCTATCGTAACATCAGATGTTCCATTAAAGATTTCATTCTTTTTTTTCCTGTTCCTCTTCGACTTCTTCCGGTTCGATTCTTCAAGAATCACAGTCGTATTTGATCGAGCTTCTGTTACATTCCTCTGCCTCTTCCCACCGTGTCTTCTCTTATTTTTCCTCGACACCTCGTTATTAGTGACGTCCCGAATTTTTCTCAACGAACGTCGACCAGACTTCAAATGATCACGATTAGGAGGATTTACAACGCTGATCGTCTTGCAGTCCGTGTTAGTCAGAGCGTAGATAATTTTCGGTTTAGGGATCGCATCGAATTTCTTCACAGGCGAAGATACATGGTCCAGGATTTCTATTTGTGCCTTCGTCTCGGGGATCGGATTAAATTTTTTCCAAAGAAAAGGCTTGAAAACTTCCACTTGTGCCTTAGGTGTCTGTTGCTTCTTCAAAATTCTTCTCTGATAGTACATCCGGTTCCTCAGAGCGTCCATGAACTCTTGACGCATACTTCCATCGTTGTACACGTTCTTCCACGGATATATTTCTGTGTCGCGGTCGTATTTTTTATTTCACAGACAAGTATTTATTGCATTGCATTGAAGTCGAGCAATACTGCCAGAATTTGATAAATCTTATCCTTTCGTCAAGTACAATCATTATATTTATTATATGCAGAATGTATACTTTGTTCCACGTCCATTTTTAATCAACCGTATAAAATAATACAAGAGATAAAATGTGATTTGATTTCTTTTAAATCGATCGAGGCGTTTATACATGTTTCACGAACTGACAAGAGCAAACTGAAAATTAGCCTCGGCTAAATTTTAAATATCCCAGCCTGTGACAGATCAACAGGTGTGTACATTATTCGAAAAGCCTGTTTTCGTTTCGGTTTGTCGCGACAGAAATACGCAAGACTATCTAATCGAGTTACAAGAGTTTCTTTTTAATCGTTTCCACTTCACATTCGTCTGGCAGTATTGCTATACTATTTTTATATCATAATACTATTTGAAACACTTTCTATTCATTGACCAGAATTGTTTTAGGAACTTCATAAAATTCGTCATTATATTCTCTAATTACGCGTTCTATTTATTTCGAGTTTCCATCTAAACTAAATCTAATATAACAGAGCTATTCTCTGCACGATATATAAAGCTTTCTAAATTATCTATTAATCAATTTCTAAAATAGTCCAATTTATTAAATTCTATCTACAGTGAATCTGTATCAACTACAACCACTTGTTCAAATGAATTAATATCCTACTAAACAACGATCACCCATTCAAGTATAATACATAATAAATATGCATATATAAAAAGTACATATATACGTAGAATATCCTGATTTTCATAGAATCAGCTGGCGAACCCAAAAATTCGTTCGCTTCCCTTTAAGACAGACACGAGGTTGAGAAATAAGAATGGTAGCATGTGTGAGTGTGGATAAGTGTAACGAGTAACATGGTGAATGGCATAATTACCGCAGTCCCTCTCGTCAGAGCCATCAGAGCACTCCTCCACCCCGTTGCACTGCAACTCGTAGCCGATGCACCCTCCGTCAGCGCAGCGAAACTCGGCTTCTCCGCAACCTGCTCCACACACCACGCTCATGCACATTTTAACCCTTTACCCGGTCCATTTACGGGGCCTGGACCCTTCACGCGTTCCCCGAAAAATGTCTCACCTCCTTAACACCTTCCCTACTCCCCTTCGTCACCTTCCATCGTTTACTCGTCGCTTTTTAATCCCTTACCATACCTCCTTATTTCTTAACATACTATTTCTGTCAGAATTAGTATAATGTATATTTTGATACACGAAATCTTCGATTCTGACACTTTGTCAATTAATTAAAATACGAATTGAATATTTTTAAGAAGCAGTTAAAATATTATGGTTCTGTGGCAATATTTTTCTGAATGGGTGATTCGGGACGATGGAGAGACTCTTTAAAGGGTTAAAAGCTGGCTTCTCATCAGCCTCTGCTTCACAAATAAAACGCGGCTTCGGCTTACGATTCAACGCGTTCCTTGCGTTTGCGTTCACCCTCTCCTCCAGCGGAGTCGTCGATACATCAAACAAAGCGGTTGACTCACAGGGTTTTAGATCTTAGGACACCGCGATGATCTAATCTCGAATCACTTCATCGTTCATCTCTGTGATATGGATATTCTACGATTTTTTCTCAGTCGAAATTCGAAAGTGATTCGAGATTGAGGATAATTTCGGGCGATGAAAATCTGTCGAAGCGTGCGGTGACGGAAAATTGCAGTTAGGGGTGGTCGGGAAAGAAGTCACTTGCGGTCGAAGGAAAATTGTTGATCGACCAAAAAACTCCTTCTCGGATCTCGTCTCCGATTCAATCTCTTTATCCACCTAACCGATTCCGAAATCAACAATCGCAGTAGACAAATTTCATAGAAAATTCCGAATTTCGATTGGAAGAAAATACGACGATTACGCACATGTTCAAACTGAACGTACGTCTCGCTTGAGTTGGAAAGTGTTCTTCTTAACGCAATGAGTAACGCGAGTCAATTCGGATCAATTAACGGCTTGTCGCGTTCACCGTCGACTTTCAACGCGTGGGCGTCGTAACAGTGACTCTCAAAGGTGCGAGCCAGAGAATAAAATTAGCTCCCATCGGTTCGTGGGAACAATTAAGACGATTGTTTCTTGAGGTAAGAAAATAATGGGTCGACTCACCGCACTGGTTCTCGTCCTCCCCGTTGCGACAGTCGATGTTCTGGTTGCACCTCTTGTCGATGCTGATGCAGGTACCGTCCATACACCTGAACTGATCTCCGCTACACGTGGTCACTGAGAACACGTCGACATAAAAAAAATTTAAATCAAGTCTAATCCAAGACTATAACAATATATATTTAATGGTATTTTAAAATGCAATTAGGAATATGTATATAATAAATGAAATCAAGTAAATAGAAGGGAAGGAATCAATGAATAAACCCTGAATTCTATACTTTAATTCATTATAGGATTTCTAAAATTATCTGACCTATCATAAACCGTGATTACGACCCAGGAAATAATCAACTAA